TAAAAATTAAAAAAAAAATTTTAAGTTAAAAATTATTTTTATTTTAAAAAATTATTTTATGTGTATGAGTGTATTGTCTGCATTTGTGTAAGGGCACCTGTATTGTGCAGTGCTCACAGAGGGCAGAAGAGGGCATTAGAACCTCTGGAACTGGAGTTATAGAAAGTTGTTAGCCACTATGTGGGTGCTGAGATTTGAACGCAGGTCTTCTGTAAGGACAGCTAGTGCTCTTAACCGCTGAGCCATCTCTCTAGCTCCTTATTTTTATTTTATGTGTATGAGTGTTTTGCCTGAATGTTTGTAAGTACACCTATGCATGCAATGTCTGCAGAGGCCAGAAGACGGTGTTGGATCCCCTAGAACTGTAGTTACAGATGGTTGTTAGCATCCATGTGGGTGCTGGGAACTGAACCCAGTCCTCCATAAGAGGAGATAGTGCTCTTAACTGATGAATCATTTCTCTAGTCTCGCAACCATTATATTCTTGCATATGCTGATTTCAACAAACAACCTGTTGACATTTTTCCTATTTTTCATTTTGTATTCTATGTGCCTTGCCCCCTAACTGCTATGTAGACTTTCTCCCTCAAAACAGGCTCTCAGGTAGTCCTGGCTGACCTCCAAATGCTTTGTAGTAGAAGACAAACTTGAACTCCTGATCTTCCTGCCTCTACCTCCTAAATGCTGGGATTATGGGTGGGTACTACCACGCCCGTTGTTAACACTGTTTTTGAGCAAGTTTATTTGATGTTCCTTGTGTAGTTTTATTTTATTTTTATGTGTTGTATACATGTGTGTTCATGTTCATGTGTGTATATATGCTCACATATGTATGTGGGTATACTTGTGTGCATATCTGAGTGGAGGATCCATCTGATTTTTGGAGATAGGGTCTCTCGGTCGCCTGGAGCTCACCAACTTGGTTAGACTGGCTGATGGGTGAGCCCCAAGGATCTGCCTGTCTCTGCCTCCCCAGTGCCACCACTCCTGGCTTTTTAAAAAAATGAACAAACAAACAACAACAACGACAAACATGGATTTGAACTCAGGTCCTTATGCTTGAGAGGCGAGCACTTAGTACTGGCCTATGTCCCCAGCCTCGTGTGGTTTTTTTTGCTTCCCGTGTCGGGAGTTTATTGAACTTCTTGGTTTATAGCTTTCACCAAATTCAGAAAGATTTTGACCATTACTTTTCAAACATGTTTTTCTTGCTTCCTCCTCTCTCCTTTCCCTCAGGAGCTCCTCTTAGACATAGATTAGGTCACTCAAAGTTGTTTTAAAGCTTAGTGATACTCTCCTAAGTCTCAAAAAATTATCTTTTATCTCTGCATTTCATTAATCATTTC